CATGTATCTGACGCACACACGCATGCATACTATTTATTGTCAAGTTTTTGTTCTTGACGTCTGTGGTCAAATTGAGAATAGATTAAATATTGTTTGTCTTCATTAATATTTTTTTTATAATGTAGCCTTGGCGAAATTTGTGATTATAGAAGTATAAAATACAATCATAATAGTGTACAAACTTAATATACAATTCCAATTAATTATAGTCGAATTTCGACTACTGCGGGACCTCTAGTTATAAGTAATACAGTATATACGAAGAGTATAGAACAATGATCATTCGGTTGATGGGAGATAGAATTGAGAGGATGTCGGTCAAGAATCACGAAACTCACGAATGTCACGAGATGTTTGAACAATCTGTAGCGTGCAACACTCGGTCGCACTCGGGCGTCATATAGCCTCTCNAATTATAGTCGAATTTCGACTACTGCGGGACCTCTAGTTATAAGTAATACAGTATATACGAAGAGTATAGAACAATGATCATTCGGTTGATGGGAGATAGAATTGAGAGGATGTCGGTCAAGAATCACGAAACTCACGAATGTCACGAGATGTTTGAACAATCTGTAGCGTGCAACACTCGGTCGCACTCGGGCGTCATATAGCCTCTCAAGGATATCAGCTTAGGTAGGAAAAAAATAAATAAAAAATATGATGCGATCGGAGTTCCCGAACGCGCAGGTGTCCCGTGACGTCATGCTACGAGATTCGCACGCGTCGATTTAAGTTGATTGCAAAACGTATTACAATTTTAGTTTTTAATTTGTGTCTTGTAGTGCCTAGCGACTTGTTTACTCTTTTTACTTTATAATAGAACATTGTACACATATTATTATATGGTTGAATTGGTTGGTGTGTTTGACTTTTATGTGTTCGGAGCTTAATATCCCGAGAATACAAATAACAAACCACAAATCGATCCGACGCTACGAGGGCCGACTGAGGACTCGGAACAATACAAACATCGGACTGTCAAATCGAAGAGTCAGAAGTCGTGTGGATTCGTTTTTTTTAATTTGTGAGATTGTTACTTAAACAACGAGCTGTAAATGCAGTAATTTACGTAAAAGTAGTTTATCTTCGTCAGTGCTCAGTGTATTAATTAAGAATTGGAAATTTACATTCAATAAATAATTAAGTAAATTTTCAACACTTGACGCTTCACAAAAACTGGTGGTAGGACCTCTTCTGAGTCCGCACGGGTAGGCACCACCGCCCTGTGTGTGGCGCATTTACGTTGTAGATGTCTATGGGCTCCAGTAACCACTTAACACCAGGTGGGCTGTGAGCCCGTCCAACCATCTAAGCAATACAAAAAAAATGAAATGCGACGTTGCTGGGGTCGGCGTTAGACGCTTCCGATACAGCGTAAAACATGTCGCCAAATGCCTTAACAACTTGCATATCGATTTTGTCTTTAGGGTTAATTTCAAGTTTTATGGCATATATTTGATTAGTTAGATCAAATTATTAATTATCGGCCCATCTCCATCCTTTGTACATTTGCTAAAGTCTTTGAAAGTTTAGTTTATACTCATATTTACAATCATGTAAGAAACCAGCTGTCCCCATTTCAGCATGGCTTCATGACGAAGCGGTCCACAAATACAAATTTATTTCAATACGTAGATGATGTTGCGGTCATCGTTGACAACTCTGGGCAAGTTGACGCAATATATACTGATTTTTTTAAGGCTTTTGATAAAGTTAATCACAGCATTTTACTAGAAAAACTACATCAATTTGGTATTGAAGTTCCTCTGCTTAGATGGTGTTCTTCGTATCTAAACCAAAGGCCATCACAGGTTGTTATTGACGGGCACAGTTCCAGTCCATTCATAGCTTCTTCGGGTGTACCTCAGGGTTCCATCTTGGGTCCACTATTTTTTAACATCTTTATCAACGAAATTACAAATCTTTTTAAATACTCTACCTGTTACCTATTTGCTGACGATCTTAATATAATGCGTGTTATAAATGATGTGAATGAGGCTGAACTATTACAGAGTGATATTGATAAATTGGTTGATTGGTGCCAAATTAATAAAATGTATTTGAATATTTCGAAATGTCTACATATAAAATTTACATTAAAACGCAATATAATACCAACACAATATCATATTTCAGGGGAATGCTTGAGTGAAGTTTCTCAGACTTGTGATCTAGGGGTGGAGCTTGATACCAAGCTGAATTTCACTAAGCACATTGACAAAATTATAGATGCCGCGAACAAATCACTGGGTTTTGTACTTAGGAATGGTAGGGAATTTAAGAAGGTTTCCACTACGCTAATGCTTTACAACAGTTATGTTAGAAGCAAACTTGATTACTGCAGCACTGTGTGGTGTCCTACATACAAAACCCATATTAACAGGATTGAGAGAATTCAAAAAAAGTTACTTCGCCACATGTCGTACCGTTTTAGGCCGCCTAATTATGTTGAATATTATATTGATAGGGCTAAACATTTTAAAATGCAAACATTGAGTGATCGCCGCGATATGTTAGGCTTATGTTTTTTACATCAAGTTATGAGCGGTACTGTCGACTCCCAATCCATCCTCAATAAATTCTCTTTGAAGGTGCCATCCAGGTTACCTCTTCGCCCCGTTGCTCTTTTCAGCACCCGCTTTAGCAGAACCGATCTAGGCAAGCACTCACCTACTCCTCGCCTAACTAACCTTTATAATAATCTAGTCAGAAAAGTTGAAAACCTTGACATATTTGGTAATTCCCTTCCAATATTCAAGAACAAAATTATAAAAAGTTGTTGTTGAACCTCAGCCTTGGCCTGAGTACTCGGGTATTACTGTCCTTGTTGTCTTTCTTTTGTTTTTAATTTTTTATTATTATTAATAGTATTGTTAAATCTCTATTGATATATTAATCTAATGCATGCTGTGATTGCCTCTAATTAGAGTTGCAGTTATCAATTTCTCTATACATGTCAATGTTATTTTATGTCATACTGTAAACCCTGTCGGTAATCCTTAAATAAATAAATAAATAAATAAATATTTTTGCCGTACCTATGCCATATCTATACGTTTGTATCGAACATTGAATTGAGATACTTACTGGTGGTAGGACCTCTTGTGAGTCCGCGCGGGTAGGTACCACACCGCTCTGCCTATTTCTGCCGTGAAGCAGTTAATGCGTTTCAGTTTGAAGGGTGGGGCAGCCGTTGTAACTATACTAAGACCTTAGAACTTATATCTCAAGGTGTATGACGCATTTACGTTGTAGATGTCTATGGGCTCCAGTAACCACTTAACACCAGGTGGGCTGTGAGCTCGTCCAACCATCTAAGCAACACAAAAAGAAAAAAGTACAGCGACGTTGCCGGGGTCGGCGTTAGGCGCTTCCGATACAGCGTAATACATGTCGCAAATGCCTTAACAACTTGCGTATCGATTTTGTCTTTAGGGTTAATTTCAAGTTTTATCGCATATATTTGATTAGTTAGATCTAAATATTCTTGCCGTAAAACATCTATACGTTTGTATCGAACATTGAATTGAGATAATTTTGACGAATCTGATGCAATTCGTTGTGATAAGTTATAAAGTATTTGTATGTCCTTAAAACATATTCACGTTGACTTGTTAGGAGTTTTAATTTGAGTTCTGACATTATAGAATACGTAAATTATAGTAACAATACAAATATAATTAGAATTTGAATACAAAAATTATGTTGCAAACGAATGCTATTTTTACAACCGAGAAATTTATTGAACTACCTACGTCACTTGAGATTTATATAAAATAAAATCCAAAATGTGTTGTTATTTTATGCTGCCTTACTTACCACAGCTCATTTTTTTTAAGGAAGGAATAAGGAAAAGGAAGTCCCAACATCCACCGACATGAAGTCTGCCACATAGTAGAAGGATTGTGCCACCCTTGCAATCAGACGGCACCAGAGCTTACCCGGAGGTTTGCAGGTTTCATTTATATCACACGATTACTTTATAACGGAAGTCGTACATGAACATGCACTTAACATTTTTTTATTGCCCTTGTAGGCAGACGAGCATACGGCCCACCTGATGATGAGTGGTTACCGTCACCCATGGACTTCAGCAATGCCAGGGGCAGAGCCAAGCCGCTGCCTATCTCTTAATACTCTTCACAAGCCTCGTTTGAACATGCATTTTTTTTCTTTTTTTTCCCTACCAATTGGCCGGAGGCCTGAGGGACTATTCCAGCTACGTGCGGACGGGTAGGTGAGCACACGGGTTCAACTTGACAGAATTTGCTATCAAGAGCACTAGTTCGCGGAATCTACCACCGGATCAGAATCACCACTGAATCGCGATCTCGTGAGAAACTCAGTGGGTTAAGTTGCACGTCGAACTTTTCGTCGTAATCGACGAGTGTTTGAAGGCTGAAAGCTTGAAGAGTCTAAAAGCACCGAAAGTGGATCCGGGGGATGCTACAAGACATGTTTCGGGCTACGGTGGTCCTGCGTCCCCGGCGCGTCGTCTGGATTGGATATGAAATTTAATTAGAAATTGATAGCTGTTTGTGGAATTTGCACACTGCTCGATAAGTATACTCTTATCGTCTTATCGTCTAATTCTAATTAAAAAAAGGGCATTTATCACTGTTATTATCATTGATAAATAATTGTATTGTGAATACTTTATACGCTTCGTAATTTAAATTGTTTTTTTTTATTAGATACTTATGAGTAAAAAATATTAAAATCACAGTCAAAATAGACAGGCTTTATTATTGTTACAAGTAACGATTTTTTTTACAGAATTTCTGTAAATATGTAGGAAATCAGTGAAACATGACCTCACGTACTGTGTACTAAACACCTAAATACTTAGTTACATTTAATATTCACTTTACTTCATTAAATAATATCACTACATAGTATAAAACAAAGTCGCTTTCTCTGTCCCTATGTATGCTTAAATCTTTAAAACTACGCAACGGATTTTGATGCGGTTTTTTTAATAGATAGAGTGATTGAAGAGGAAGGTTTATATGTATAATAACATCCATTAAATAATGGAGAAATTAATAATAAATTACAGTTTCCGAAGCGAAGCAAGGGCGGGTCGCTAGTTTCGAGTAAAGTTGATCATGGTTCAATTTTGAAAAAGAATCTCTTCAAGGTTCCCACCTTCGATCAACCAAATAGAACCGCTCGGTGCTCTCTTGAATACTTCCAGAGATGCGGACCCGACGTCGCTTGGTTCTTGCCAGGTGTGCGCCATTGCATATGCCAATAAATCCGCAGGAATTGAACTAGTGTCCTCTTCGAAAAAGGGTCTAGTTAAATTAGTTTTAGTGAAGCCAGGGCACAGAGCCACGACACGAACGCCAGACTTTTGAAGATTCCCCTCGTGACCCAACGATCTGGTGAAGGTAATCATGCCGGCTTTCGTAGCTTGATATATTGGAATAAATTGTGAAATCCGGTAGCCCAGAATTGAAGAAATATTTATAATTGTGCTCTCTGACCTTTCATCACGGCTCATATTATAATGGTACAGTTTCAAACTTAGTGTTACACATGCTGTAAAGTTTATATCTATGCATGTTTTGTAATCTGTACCTCCGACACCAGCGTTGTTGACTAGAACATCGATGCGTTTGTATTTCTCAACGATTTCATTGAACGCCCTGTCTATATCAGTTTTCAAATCGCATTTCACGAATACAGTTTTATCGATTCCCAAACGTTCGATAGCTTGTTTACCTGCATCCTCGTTGAGGTCCAGTATAATGACAGTGGCGGATTGCTTAGAGAAATTCTCGGCAATGCTATATCCAATTCCGGTAGCGCCACCCGTTACAACAACAATTTTGTTTTTTAGATCAACCTCCATTATAAAATATTAGTTTTTTATTTCAGACCACGAGACGGTACGAAGCTGTTTTTAGATCGTGCCAAATAAAACTGTATTTTTGTTTATCAAGGTGTTCACTTAGTCCTCATTCACTTTGTTTGTAATACACGAATTTGGCACTAAAAAGAAATAAGTACTAGAAAAGCGCACAAGACTTTAGTGGTGACTGAAGCTTTATGTGAAGCATGAGCGACGACTGAATCTAGCGAACGTAGTTAGAACGTATTTAAATGTTATAATACTAGTTGTGATCGTGACTTCGTTTGTATAGCGCTGTTACTTGGATTGAGCTTTTTTTTCGTGGCTTCTGTTCTGATCTAAACTTGTCCGTGAATTGGTATCAAAGTTTTAAAAATAAGAATCGGTTTTCAGCTGTAATATTTATCTATATAAACCTTCTTTTTTTTCTGGGGCCGTTGTCTCAACCTTTTTGGATTTACCGCGTCAAGAGATTGCGGAATAGGGGCCATCCGCAAAATGAATTTTATTATTATCTTCGACTTTCACGAGTCGTACTCATAATTAAACCTCATCATCATTCTCCTGCCCTTCTCCCAGTCACCTGGGGTCGGCGTAACATGTTTTTTCTTTCCATACTCCTCTATCATTTACCATTTACACCCGCCTATTTCTGCCGTGAAGTAGTAATGCGTTTCGGTTTGAAAGGTGGGGCAGCTGTTGTAACTATACTGAGACCTAAACTTATATCTCAAGGTATGTGGCGCATTTACGTTGTAGATGTCTATGGGCTCCACTAACCACGTACCACGTCCACTCATCTAAGCAATAAAAAAAAATGCGATTTCTTCTCTCATTCCCCTCTTACACATGTCGGCTTTTAAGCAATCCATCCATTTTTTCTCAGGTCTACATCTTTATCCTCCTTGTGCGGTTTAATTTTACGTTTGATTCAGTTACTATGTAATTAGCCCCTTCGAATAGTTTTCGAATTTCGTGGAAACGGATGACGGATGTTCTGTATGCACATCGACATATGCATGACGCGTAATTAAAAGTAATTGTTTTAATTAAACCAATATCAACACTTCATTTACAATTATAATTTGCGAACAATTACCGGCGATACGGTATTGAAATTGGAACAAAAAATAAACTAGTTGAGTTTTCGGTTTCGAATATCGACGGACGGATGTTACAATGTTCGAACGTATAGTGCTGATTATAAAACATCACGTTTTTAATTAATACTAGTGGTCCCGCAGGAGTCGAAATTCGACTGTAATTAATTGAAATTATAAGTTTAAACATTATTATGGTTCTATTGTCAAAGAGACAAAGACTATTTACTATATATAAACTAGTGGTCCCGCAGTAGTCGAAATTCGACTATAATTAATCGACTATAAACGACGACTCCAAAACGACTAATCGACTATAAACTAAATTACAATGTGCGTAATTACTGGTGGTAGGACCTCTTGTGAGTCCGCACGGGTAGGTACCACCGCCCCACCTATTTCTGCCCTGAAGCAGTAATGCGTTTCGGTTTGAAGGGAGGGGCAGCCATTGTGACTATACTGAGACCTTCTAACTATATCTATGGGCTGAGTCTATGGGCTCCAGTAACCACTTAACATCAGGTGGGCTGTGAGCTCGTCCACACATGTAAGCAATAAAAAAATAAAAAATAATGCATAATTTAATTTTTTTTTATCATATTGTGCACTTCTTCTCTATATTCTCTATAAGCGTGGAAAATTTCATACTCCTTCGTCCGCGCAATTTTCGTAAAAAGGGATACAAAGTTTTTGCTTCATGTGTTAACGCTGGTCTGAACTGCCAGCGAATGTGTAAGCCTAAAAATGTTATTCATAGCTCATACCCGATCCTGTAGACCGAATGGTAAACAGTCGACGTCGCCCAAAGCACGTCATTAGGGATCCTCCCGATCCATTAACGGTGCTTTTAGGCACCACAAGCACCGGTCACCGTCCTCGCCGAACCCGTCGCTTGCGACGAAGGGCTCGACGAGCGAATTAACCCATAGACACAGTCCACTGAGTTTCTCGCCGGATCTTCTCAGTGAGTCGCGTTTCCGATCCGGTGGTAGATTCTGCGAAGCACTGCTCTTGCTAGGGTCAAGGGCGGATCCAGCTTTGGCGCCAGGAGGGGGTCACATAGTCAAATTTAGATGCGTTCGTTCCCAAGCGTTTGCCATTATACAAAGTTATTATATTATATTAAATTAATTAAATATTGAAGGTATGTAGTTACATAAAATCTGTATGGTGACAAAATATATAAATAAAATCATTATATTCAATTAGTGGTCCACCTAAGTCCTGGAANTTTCCTCCAAGTGTTGCCATATCTTGTAATCTAACGGATTCAAATCTGGACTGGAGGAGGGCCAGTCTTCGTGCCGGATGAAGTCGATTTCACGCGCCGCCAGCCAGTCTTGTGTGCTCTTCGCTCTATGAGCTGGCGCCGAATCTTGTTGGAATACCCAGTGCCTGTTATTGAACATAGTATGAGAAACAGGTTCCACGAGGTTCGTCAGGACTGTATTTTGATACACAACTGCATTCGTTTTTACACCTTTCTCACAAAAATGTACCTCTGTTAAGCCCTAATAAGAAACTCCCAACCATACCATGAGCGAGGATGGAAAATGACCTCGTTGGACACGCGGAATACGGTTGCTCGCTTCTTCACTACTGTGTGCGTACACCTTATCATTTTGTTTGTGGTAGCTCTCTTCTACGTTAAAAATTTTTTCATCCGAAAAAAGAATTTCCCGATATTTTTTTCCCGCATACCGCTTCAACAAAGCGCGGTATCTCTTTAGTCTCAGGTTCATTAGACGAGCATTCAAACGATGTCCTGTTTTTTTTCGATATGCCCGAAGCCCTAAGTCTTCATTTAACACCCTTTTCACCGTGGTTCTGCTTAACCCCATCGAAGGGCCAACAGTTTCTGCTTACGTTTGGGATTTCTTTGAATTCGCGCCTTCACAGCTTTTATCACTGCTGGAGTCCTAACAGACCGAGGGCGACCACTTCTTGACCTGTAATCTACACTAGAGTCTTCATTGTATCGTTTGATGGTACGATAAACGAATCTTTTGGTTATATTCAAAATTTTCAGTATGTTAAAAATTTGAATTGGCGCGTAACCGCAACGATGCAACGCAATAACTGCCACACTGTCTTCTTTAAGCGTCCACTCCATATTTAAAAATGAGTAAAATTCTAAAAGTATACATTTTTATTTTCATGAACAATTCGAAATTCGAATTCAATAAACTTTTTTGTGGCCAGCATTCTAAAAGAAAAGTTTTTACTGTGTGACAATACTTATGACCTGACTAGGTATATATATAGAAGATTCACATTTACTTGATTAAATCGCGCTGGACTGAACTGCCAGCGAATATGTAAGCCTAAAAATGTTATTCATAGCTCATACCCGATCCTGTAGACCGAATGGTAAACAGTCGACGTCGCCCAAAGCACGTCATTACGAATCCTCCTGATCCATTAACGGTGCTTTTAGGCACCACAAGCACCGGTCACCGTCCTCGCCGAACCCGTCGCTTGCGACGAAGGGCCCGACGAGCGAATTAACCCATAGACACAGCCCACTGAGTTTCTCGCCGGATCTTCTCAGTGGGTCGCGTTTCCGATCCGGTAGTAGATTCTGAGAAGCACTGCTCTTGCTAGGGTCAGTATTAGCAACACTCCGGTTTGAGCCCCGTGAGCTCACCTACACACGTTAGGGTGAAGCTAAAATAATCTTAAGGCTATCAGCATAGGTAGGGAAAAAAATAATCATATCTTTTGATAGATTAAAACAAATATGCGTACAACAAAGAGTAAGTGCTACCTGTAGTTATACTACGTGTTAGTTTAAATGTATTCACAAAAAAAAACGAACGCTCAATAATTAAGTAAAAAAATTGTAACTTATTCATAGTCGCTTAATCATTTTTTCGCGATAATGCACGGACGGACCTGTAACACGGCAGTTTTTGTTAATATGCCGATAGCGATTAGTTTATAATTAGATAGTGTTAGGTCGTAACAAAGCTCTAAACATATAAAATTTATTCAAAAAGTCATTACAATAAACAAACAAAAAAAAAAACAAACAAACAAAATAACTAGTTGTTACAATCAATGGAAACCGCGCGCTTTAACTGGTGATAGCTTCATAATGACCATATAGGGTATTCATTGGTACCGGAAATCAAATTCTTTCTAGAACATCCGATAACAAACGCCCACAACGTAAGTGCCTAGAATTTTCGAAATAAAAATACAATAGCGAACAACGGGTCAACTGCTTGTTAATAATTCCATTTCGCTCGGTTCGACTATTGCTATCTCAGTACCACAGGAGTTTTATGGAATACTGGCTGACCCGGCAGACTTCTTAGTGCCTCAATCAATAAATAAAATACCTAAGCTATATTATCCTACCTAAGCTGTATCAAATAAACATAAAACAAACAAAAGGACCCGTCCGACGGGGGACACGTCAAAGGAAAAATGAAGTTTACATTTTTATTTAATTCCGAGCATTTTCATATTTATTTACTTTTTAAACCTTCTCTGGACTTCCACAAATAATTCAAGACCAAAATTAGCCAATTCGGTCCAGCCGTTCTCGAGTTTTAGCGAGACTAACGAACAGCAGTTCATTTTTATGTATATAGATGGACAATAGTTTGGGGCGTGACTTGCTTCGGTTAAGCCGTTCTTTCCATATTTCTATCTCGTCACATACGAAAGATCTAGAAATTCGGTCACTGTGCATTGTCGCCACAGGAAGGAAGTAGGCCGTTCCGATACAAATATATAAAAACAAATTCGCGCAGAAGAAAATTTCGACTCTAGAGAGTTCACACGACAATTATATGCGATCCACATTCGTGATTATTTGAACTCATTTTGAAAAGTAGTAAAATCAGTGCTACACTAAAATAAAAAAAAGAGAATTAAAAGCGGATTATTCAGGTAAGTTTAACGTAATTAATTCCAATAGGTCTGGTTGCTATTTACTAATTGTTCGCGTCTAGATTAATTCGATTACTATTCGACAAGTGATTTCTTCAACCTTTTAATAGTGCAAAAAATTGCTATGGCTATATATTTCTTAATAGTGTTTTAACAACGTAATGAAATGTGACAGCGGGTATCTTAAAATTAGTAAAGTATAACTTTATCTATTTAATCATTCCGATAAGTTTTAAATACATTTGACTGCGTTATTTTTCTTCATTAATATTCTATAATCATATTAATTTAGTCCAAATCAGTCCTGCCTCCACAAGAAACCGCCGTGATAATTTATTCCCACTGCTTATTCCACGCGTGTGTTGTTAACATCGGTGGCTTGTGTGTATGTATTTTAATAGAACCTATTTATAATACAAAATATTTATTTTGTTAAAATAATAAACGTTTGTTTTTTGTAGTCTGTAGCCTATTAAAAATTGCCACCGAAAAATTGTATACAAGATTGTCTATATGAATTATAAACTCGTAGTAATGTAATTAAAATGTTTGCCATTACACATATCTTAATTTAGTTTAGGTTTTAAAGCCATTTGTATATATTGCAATAGTTGGAATGTTATACATAAATATATTTCCTTCTAATAGTTCATACAGGTAATGTAACTCAAACACATGGGTGGGATTTATTTACTACAATAGATTATCTATCTCTTAGGTTTATGGCGTTTCCTTTTAGATTTCGCCAATGTCAAGTGTATTTAATACTCTGCTTTCTATAGCGGGCTTCGTGAACGAGCAAGGTCACAGATATTCACTAAGAATTAAGTGAGTAGCTAAGAATGTTTGATGACAGGATCTCTGTTGATTTACCTAAAACAAATAAGACGCACACAATATATATACAGGGGTTNTTTTACGCTACCATGCGTAAGAGGTGTGCATCTCTGGTAAGCAGAGTGAGGGCCAGCACCAACAGTATCCTGAGCATGATCGCAAGCAGGCTGGACTGTGTATACATGGGTCGCTGTGGTGCCATCTCCCATGGGATGTTACGACAGTAATTCATTGTGATGTAAATATAACTACTAACATAGGTCTAAGTCTTATTAACAATTTATATGAGTCATGGTTACTTGCAATAAAAACATTATTATTATTATTATTATAGCGTAGTGGAATGGTGATCGTCCGACATATATTATAAACAGTTGGGGTTTGATTCTGGGTTGGGTAATTATATTTCATTTAAATATTTGATTTTCTTTGAATTATATTTTGACTGAACCTAAATGTCGCTACTCCATTCCGTGTAATTTTTAATTGCTTCGCGAAAGACGCCGACGGCCAGTCCTGGTCTCACCTAGTGCCTGGGTGTCGGATCTTTCGCGCTACAAGTGTCCTTTCGACGCGTTCCAGGATACTGGGGGTCCACCGTACGGATTGTAAACCAGCAGGCAACACCTCCGAGTTCTCCACTAAGGCAGTGGAAGGTTCCTCACCGAAGACCCCCACGCGTCACGGGATCGAACGGCCCAAAGATAAGTCCCCAGTGCACATAGGCTTTTTTTTTAAAAGACCAGAAAGCTTCCCTTCTGCCGCTAATCTAATTCCCGGAAGTAGTCATCACTAGACTCCTAGGATCATATATTATTTAATTCAATTAATAATATATTTTTTTGATATTTTGTTATTTAACATCTTGTAATAAACAATTGTAACATTGTAGTTGAGTTTTATTTGTACCCGAAACTATCCGATTTGGACTGACTTGTAACTAAATTATTATTCAAATCTGAGTAATTTCGCTTTATTAAGAGAACTTTTGTCAAATCATTTGTAAAAAGTTTGTAATATTGAAATAATTGCTTTTTACTACATACTTAAGTATGTATACAACAGTAAATATCAATACATATAATAAAATACAAAAATATAAATTTTTTTATTTTTGTGTGTCTGTCTGTTTGTTCCGGCTTATCTCTGGAACGGCTGGACCGATTTTGACGAGACTTTTACTGATAGGTAGCTGATGATATAAGGAGTAACTAAGGGTGCTTTTTTTAGACTAGCTTTGGCCCGCGGCCTCACCTGCGGTACGACAATAACTGCGAGTAACATCGCGGGACTCGGCTATGAATAATAAAATTTAATGTTTCCGAAGCGAAGCGAGGGCGGGTCGCTAGTTTTTATTAATTGCATGATAAAGTCGCCACACAAAAAATATGTTTATTAAGTGCGGAACAAAACTTAGTAAAAGTTAATTGTCATGTTTATTAAACTATTATAATTTAATATATTATATAAGGATCATATCATCATATCAAAACGTTATTTATTGTACGCGATAAACACTGGGTCATTTGGTTCAAATTGTGCCTTTAGTTATCGGCTGTGTGTATTTTTAGAACAAGTTAGTAGTACTTCATTTCTACAAGTAGGCTTGACGTGTGTATTCAGTGAAAGCTTATTTAAAGCGCTACTTTAAATATGGAACGCGAATTGAAAAATAAAATTGTAGCCATAACGGGAGGAGCTGAAGGCATAGGCCTCAGTATCGCCGATCAATTCCTCAGCGAAGGAGCAGTCGTCGTGATACTCGATATAAACTTGGAGAAAGGACAAAATGCAGCCAAAGAATTGCAAAGCAAGCACGGCGCTACGAAGGTCAGTTTCTTAAGATGCGACGTTACGACCGATCTGGAATCGGTATTCAATCAGCTCATAGATGCTCACAAACGTGTTGACGTCTTGGTGAACAACGCCGGGATCATATGCGAGAGTTCATTGAGGAAGACTCTTGAAATAAACACTGTGGCTCCCATCGAGTGGACGGTGAAGTTTAGAGAGTACATGAGGACAGATAAGGGTGGGAGTGGTGGCACAATTTGCAATGTATCATCGATATACGGCTATTGCCTAGACCCGTATTTGCCGTATTACAAAGCTTCGAAGTTTGCTCTATTCGGCTTCAGCACTACGTTAGGACATAAGCAGAATTACGACAGAACTGGGGTAAGAATCGTGACTGTATGCCCCGGGTTTACAAGCTCAGCCATGACAGCACAACTGACGGTGTGGGATGAGCACGTTGAAGAGTTTGCGGCTCAGAGAAGCCAGCTGAAGTGGCAAACTCCTGCGCAGGTCGGTGCTGGTGTCGCTGAGCTGTTCAGGGTCGCCGATAGTGGAACAGCCTGGGCTATTATAGGGGGAGAACCAATTAAGCAAGTAGAGCAAAGATGTCTCAAATAAATATTGTTAATTCTTGTGTTTTCTTTGTGTTCTATGGATTAAATCAGGGGTGAGCAACCTTTTTAATCAATGGGCCAATTTTTTTTTGGCCTCACATATATAACTCTCATTATACGAAGCTTTATTTCTTTATTAAAAACAAATAAGAAACGCTTGTTGCTCATCCTTGGATTGAATCATTATCATTTGATTCTCTCATTTATGCAATAAAAATGTGGAATACATATTTTGTATATTATTTATATTGTTAAGGATTGTGTTTAATCTATATTACATGTGATATATTATGTTTTTCAGTTTTGAAACTATTGTTACGCGCTGGGGTTCGGGATAAATAAAGTTCTACTGAAGTACAAATTAAAAACTGTATTCGACACTTAGAACTTCACAAACACTTTAAAATTCTCAATTCGTCTCTTCCGCTTCGCTTCAGGTGATCCGTTCGCTGTTTCGCTTCGAGTAGTTCCGATTACTAACTGACTGCGTACCATCTCTGAAATGCTTTTATAACTGATACCATATCCCTAGAATTATTGAGAATATTTCACAAAAGTCGAGTATTGTGTTTCCCGCTATCTGACAATAGATGGCGCTGTACTTCTCGAGCGTTCTAAATGCTACTAGATCCTTCGATATTCGTTCGGCTATTCGGCGATAGATGGCGTTACTCTTACCGGTGTAACACTATCTACTCGCAACAAAAACTCATACATAACAAACAGAGTATCGACCCAGGTGTGTCTTATCATTATATTTGTTTACTCTAAATTGTCAAAGATTCTACCCAGCTGTATTTTTTATCTAAACGTCCGCCCGTCTTTGAATCAGTGTCAGAGGGAACTTATTTAGCGCTTGCCATAAGTTAAAAGATATTGCACTATAGACCTTTCGCAATTTATTTATTTTCGATCTAATGAGTTATGTGACTTATCAATAGACGGAGAAGTCGTTAGATCGTGACGTCATTTAATTACGCATCGAATTAGTATCCAAATTTGGGATAAATGGCGGCGATTGAATATTTAATACATTGCCTGCATAATTAACATAGTGTTAATTAAATATTAGTTCAAAAATATTAGTTTGAATTAAGGTAGGCAGCGGCTTGGCTCTGCCCCTGGCATTGTTGAAGTCCATGGGCAACGGTAACCACTCACCATCAGGTGGGCCGTATGCTCGTCTGTCTACAAGGGCAATAAAAAAAAATTAACGATGCTAACGTTAGAAATGAATTGAACATAGTTGAAATACATTTGAATATGCAATTTCGAAAAGGGCACATCTCTGAAAATGTAAAATGTTCAGGAAATGAAAAAAAACTGATTATTTTCTAAAGCAGTGTAAAATTTAAAATATTAACCTTTGAGATATATTTTAGTGTTAATTAGCAATTGAAAATTACTGTAATTATTATAAAATGGGTGTAGGTAAGCCTCAAAACTACATGTGTATGAAAAAACGTATTTGACAAAATATGCGACATGTGCCCTTTTCATTGCAAAAAGAAATTTTTATTTACAAATTAAAGAAAAAAACATGACAAAAAACTTCTACAGTTATTTGAATGTGAAAATAATTGATGTTCAATTAAAAATGTCGAATTGAATCTGATACCAGAGAAAAGGGACTTTTAATTACAAAGATAAATGTCGCATATTAAGTGAAATGTCGCTTAAACTAAAGCCTTTATCCCTCAATATAGTTAAAATGCATTTAATTAATAAATATATAAAATAAAGGCATTTATTATAAATAAAGGCATTTGCGCACATAGCTTATGTTGCAAGCCAGATTTTGTTTCTTTTTATTTGTGTTTTTTTATGTATCATTAGCTTGTAATGTGTATTGTGAGCCTAATAAAATAAATAAATAAATATTGAAAAGTGTTTTATCTGAATTTCTGTGCTGGCGTTAAGATTATGCAGAATGTATGTAGTGCCATGATTAGTATTGTAATATGCACACCTGACAATATATGGCAACACCTGTATTGTTTTTGTAACAAGATTTGCGTATAATATTTCATCGGATCAAGATAATAGAAGTTAGGTGGTAGGGAGTCGTGTGAGTTCGTATGGGTAAGCCTATTAATAGTGATTTCCAGTTTGAGGGATGGGATTTTGGAAGTAAAGTAAAAACAAAGGGAAGATCTTCCACTGAGCGGTTTTTTTTTTATTGCTTAGATGGGTGGATGAGCTCACAGCCTACCTGGTGTTGAGTGGTTACTGGAGCTCATAGACATCTATAACGTAAATGCGCCACCCACCTTGAGATATAAGTTCTAAGGTCTCACTATGGTTACAACGGCTGCCCCACCCTTCAAGCCAAAACGCATTACTGCTTCACGACAGAAATATGCGGGGTAGTGGTAGTAGTGCCTACCCGTGCGGACTCACATGAGGTCCTACCACCAGTGACATTGTTCGGTAGAGGGACAGTCCTAATATTATTGTTTGGAACATTCATTTCAAGCTAGTTAACTAATAGTACAATAGTTTATTAGATACTATCTTTCTTTCTTTTTAGTCTTTTAATTCAGTCGCCAATGTTTTCTTCGTTTAATTTTGTTACTATTAGCAGATACCGAGATAACACAATAAATACTTCATTATGTTTTAAAATATATTTATAAGTAAATCTATACTAATATTATAAATCTGAAGAGTTTGTTTGTTTGAACGCGTTAATCTCAGGAACTACTGGTCCGATTTGAAAAATTATTTCAGTGTTAGATAGCCCATTTATTGAGGAAAGCTATAGGCTATATAACATCACGGTAAGACCAATACAAGTGGAGCACCAATAAATCATGTTTCAAAATAAGGCTTTAAATAGCTCCTTAACATTCTATAATTCAAAAATATTTTCACTTTCTACATAAATCAAATGGCGGGTAAAATTTAGCGTTATGCCAAAGTCACTATTCCACGCTTACGGAGTCGCGGGCAAAAGCTTGTTATTAATAAAAACTTTCCCGCTCGCAGCTTGCTTCCAACTTCTCCCCCAACTTACAAGCGCGTCAGATGAAGTTGATAAATGACGCGAAAGGTAATCCTCACCGTAATCTTCGCCGGTGCGTCTCCGTAATTTTTCACCTTCTTCTATCTTTTAATCCGGAATCCGAGGCCTCGATCGGGAAACGGTTCTTTAAATGTAGTTCACTGAAAATTCTACGATTATTTTAACTTAAAAGAGATATTTTGCTAGACGTTGGCATCATGAGAAGTAATAATTTTAGGCTCTCTTTACTTTCATTTATTTATTTAGAATCTAAACAATGTAGCTACGTTGAGTGAAATAATAAAAACATAAGCTTAGTTTCGTTATTAAAAAGCTACCTTAAAACCATCAACTTTTAATACAATCAAAAGCAACAAAGGTATTCGAAGGGATAGAAAAAGACAAAGATTTTTGATCGAAACATATTAACGATATTTCTGTCAGGCTCTTCTTTAGCCTGAAGGATAAGACGCCTGCTGCAGTCGTATCAAGCTGGTGCCAGGGTTCGAAGGGTGGTAGGCGGCGGCTTGGCTCTGCCCCTGGCATTGCTGAAGTCCATGGGCGACGGTAACCACTCACCATCAGGTGGGCCGTATGCCCGTCTGCCTAAAAAGGCAATAAAAAAAAAAAACCCGCAGGCAAGTACCAATTTTTCTAATCATATACGTACTGGACAAAAGCTCACACAGTGAAAGAATAATATTGTGTAATCAAAAATCAAACCCGCAAAATTATAATTTACGTGGACCTCTTGTGAGTCTGCACGGGTTGGTACCACCGCATTGCCTTTTCCTGCCGTGAAGCAGTCATGATTTCAAGGGTGGGGCAGTTGTTGTACTATAAAAACTGAAACTTTAGTACTCGCGGCTCGAGGTGGGTAGCGGCATTTAGGTTGTAGCTGTCTATGGGCCCCGGTAACCACTTAACACCAGGTGGGCCGTGAGCTGATCCACTCATCTAAGCAATAAAAAAATATTCATTACTCATCACCACCATACTCATGACTCTGGTGCGAAAATCGCACAATTCAACGAAAAATTCCACCTCAGGTTGCGATATGATTAAGGACTGGGAGGTAGTATTAAATTTGTGATCGTAATAGGGTCGGTTAACTTATAAAACCCAAGTGGTTGTGGACTCCTGTGCGTATCTAATGCCAGAAGAAAAGGTTAATAGATTAATATGTTTTTATTTTCTTGAGATGCTGACATTTCAATACATTTAGCACGCAAGCAACTAGCCCGGATTTTGTATTTATTTGTTAATGAGATACATAACACATATGTATCGTAATTTGTATACATAAAGTTCGTATTCCAATTAAAACGTGAAATAATTCAAAAGATTCGATCGACACGGCGCCGCTATCGGTGCTCCGTATCAAGTGTACTTAAAAAGTACAAACGGCAAATAAAATTATATAAAAATAAAATAAATAAAAATATTTTATTTCGAGACATCATAGTCTCGTAGTGTGATAGGTATTACAAATAATTTAAGAACTATTTTAGTATTTAAGTAAATCTAAGCATATCACTTAAATCTAAGCATGGCACTGAGACATGGTCGCTCACAATGGACCTTATGAGAAGGCTCAAGAGCAATGGAGAGGGCTATGCTCGGAGTTTCCCTGCGAGATCAAATCAAAAATGAGGAGATTCGCAGGAAAGCGATGGTAACCGACATAGCCCAAAGGATTGCGACATTGAAAAGGCAGTGGGCAGGACACATTTCTCGTAGAACGGATGGCCGTTGGGGCCAGAAAGTTCTTGGGTGGCGACCGCGTACCGAAAGACGTAGCGTAGGACGTAGCCTCCCACAAGATCGACCGACGACCTATCGAGGTTCGTGGGGATCCGCTGGATGCAGGCAGCGCACGACCGATCTTTGTGGCGAGGCTTGGGGGAGGTCTTTGTCTAGCAGTGGACGTCTGTAGGCTGATAAGAAGAAGAAGAAGAAGCATATCAACCCCGCCCCTGGCAGCCTTATGAAGCAGCATG